CAACATTCATTGTCCAATTTGACACGCCAGGCTGAACATCGCAGATAATGACTAGGTCTGAGTTTCTTAATTGAAGCACAGCCCAGGCACTGCGGAATGAGGAATATCCGTAAATTAATCGTATATAAATGTTTATTGAACGTATGTAAGGTGCATATAGATATCTATGCTCTGTTTTAGATACATTCAAAGGCTAGATGTCCTGACATGGTACGTAATATATACATATCGTAGATATCTACAATAGATGGTCTATAGATATTCATATGTATTTGTAAAAAAAAGTCCTCCGGTTATAATTCGACAACTGGCATATTTGCTGCACCAACTGTTGCTAATACATTTGGTACTTTATTTAAAAAATATGGACGCCAGCGCGTGGCAGAATGCATTAAGAAAAAGGATCCTGAAGGGAAAAAGGCAGTCAAAGATTTTCTTTTGTTACTCGATGATGACTATTCGACGATTAATAAAAAGGTCGTCGAGGATCAAGTGAGGAAGAAACAAGAGAAGAAAATAATTCTACCATCAAAAGAAGTCATTACAAAATTACGCAATTTTTTGGTGCAAAAGTATCAGAATTCTATGGAATTATTGAAAAAGGAATACCGATTCTCTGCTTGGCAAACTTCGATCGAGTCCATATTGATTCTCGTCCAAATGTTTAATCGACGCTGAGCCGGAGAAATTGAGCGATTACTAATCACAGACTACAAGGACCAAGAAACGGTTGATAAGAACATTAATCCAGATGTGTATAGAAATTTGTCTCAGGAATCATAAGAGCTTACTGAAAAGTACCAGGTGTATAAGCTTAAATCCGCTGTTTGCTCATAGATTGCGTTCGTGAGCATATTAAGTTACTATGGACATGCCATACTTTTGTTTCGTATGAGTTTGACATTTGCCAACAATAATCAGTGCACATCATCAGCAATTTCATACAACAACATACATTTTTCCTTTGGTAATCATGTCCAGTTTTTTGCCAGAAAAAGACCATATGCGGGAGAATCTGCTTTTCTGCTTCAATTTGAAGAAATCGGATGCAGACTCGTCGACACTCCTTCGAGAAAGAGTGCATCGCATTGTCCATGGCCAAATGTTGCTCAAATGTTCTTCAGGCCGTCTCACTCCAATCAGATGGTTCAACAGATATTCCATATAAATCTAATATATACGTATATTATACCTATGGTTCCGTGTGGGATATATGTAGAATGACCCTTTGGTATCACCTTAATCTCAAGCTGACGATCAGTCGCGTAATAATAAAGAAAAGAAAGTTTTGAGAAACCTTTCGCCATTACGTCGAGGTTGTAATCCTCTTTGGTGTTCCAATTGTGATCCAGGCTGGACGAAAAAACCTTAATGTTGACCTCAACCTTAAGGCGACATGAAAGGGTCATTCTATATATGTAGAACGTTAAAACATTCATCAAGCCTTCCTCCAAACTGGCTGCACCAAATGGGTGGGAACTCCAGCATGTGATTATGGAGACCCCAAGGAAAAACCTGCTGCTCATGAAACTCCATTTGTAATACAAAATTTCATTTATTTATCCCAGACTCGAACCAAGAATACATATCGTTTCCGAAAAATGAAATTTCATCAGCACCACGTTCTTCCTTAGGGCCTCCATAATCACGTGGTGAAGTTTCAAATGATTCGGTTCACCCAGTTTGGAGAAAAGTTACATAAATATTTTTAGGTTCGATATATGTAGAATGACTCTTTCGTATCACCTTAAGGGTCATCATGTTGCAGTTGTGCCGGCAGGATTGCTGCAGATTTTGCACGAAGACGTTGGAGGCTTCGAACACAAACTCGTTAGCTGCTCCTGGGACGTCCAAGTTGAAGGAGAATTTCTTCGGATGCACCGCCCTATACTTTTTGTCACACCAAATGTTTAATTCCAATTAAGGTGAAGTGAAACCCCTTCAAATCAGTCGATTCAAATAAGACACTTTTCTTTAACGGTAATGGGTCGAATCGTCTGAAATTTTGACATATGACTCATGATCACCTATGAATTATGCAGACACTTTCAAAATTTGGAGTGCTGAAAAAAAGATTTTACCTTAGCCCAAACCAGAACCAAAATGGCGTCGAGCTCTCATATTTCGATCAATATACAACTATTGAAGGCTCTAATATATGAAACAAAAGTGCCAGGACCATTTTACGACAATTTAGAACACTCTGGTAATCGAGAAACTCGCATTTGTAAGGGATAAAGGGGAAAAAAGTGTCTTATGCGAGATGCTATGCTAAAACAATGGGGATACAGGGTCACAGAGTGTAAATGTAGTTAGTACGGAAATCAAAGATGGCGCAGGGAGTCCCTCTGCAGTCAACTATGGCCTCGGAAAGCACGAATCCAGAGAATTTCTGGAATTTTATTTCGATTTCTTTATAATTATTGTACGAAAGCGACATATGGATGACGCCATTTAGTACAATACCCTATATAATTCGACACGGCTGTCAATATAAAAACGAACGTCGGCAACGTCGATATTTAGAAAAAGGTTTATCGACGTCGATCAAGTTCCTCGACGCGTTCCACTTCACCTTAAGGTGATACAAAAGTCTGATATACCAGGTGTATAAGCTTAAATCCGCTGATTGCTCATAGATTGCGTTAGTGAGCATATTAAGTTACTCTGGACACGCCACACTTTTGTTTCGTATGAGTTTGACATCTGTCAACGATAATCAGTGCACATCATCAGCAATTTCATACAACAACATACATTTTTCCTTTGGTAATCATGTCCAGTTTTTTGCCAGAAAAAGACCATATGCGGGAGGCTCTGCTTTTCTGCTTCAATTTGAAGAAATCGGATGCAGACTCGCATCGAATGCTTGGGGAGGCCTATGGCGACAGTGCTTTATCGGAAACAACGTGCAGAGATTGGTTTCGTCGGTTCAAAGACGGCAACTTTGACCTGAGCGACAAGAACCGTGAATTTCGGCCCAGGAAGGTTGAGGACCATCAATTGAAGGCTCTTTTGGACGAGGACGATACCCAATCGCAAAAAATGCTTGCCGAGCAACAGGATGTTACTCAACCAGCCATTTCCATACGCCTACGTGCCATGGGAAAGGTTCAAAAGATCGGAAAATGGGTGCCGCATAAATTGACCGATAGGCAGATGGAGCGACGCCAAAACACATGCGAAATCTTGCTCGCCAGACAAAAAGAAAGTTGTTCCTGCATCGAACTGTGACTGGCGATGAAAAGTGGACATTTTTCGATAATCCTAAACGCAAGAAATCGTGGGTTGATCCCGGCCAACCATCAAAATCGTCCGCAAGACCAAATCGCTTCGAACGGAAGACGATGCTGTGCGTTTGCTGGGATCAGCAGGGTATCGTCTACTATGAGCTGTTGGAACCTGGTGAAACTGTAAATGCCCACCGCTACCACCAACAACTGATCAAATTGCACCGTGCTGTGCGTGAAAAAGGCCGGATTATCGGCAAAGACATGACAAGCGATTATCCTCCACGACAACGCCCCTTCGCACACGTCCAAAATGGTCCGAAACTACTTGGAGGCCCTCAACTAGGAGGTGCTACCCCATGCCGCTTATTCACCAGACCAATCCCCTTCCGACTACCACCTGTTTTCGTCAATGGCCCACGCGCTTGCTGAGTAACACTTCGATTCTTTCGAAGACGTCCGACAATGGCTCGATGAGTGGTTTGCCTCGAAAAGCCACCCCCTAAAAATGAATTTTTTCTAAAAATTCCAAATGCATGTTTCATAATTCTTCATTCCCTATATTTTGAAGGTGTTTCATGAAAATCGGTCGAGTGCTTCTATATGAAACAGCCAACTCACCCCCTTGCACGGCCAACTTTGAAGCCTGATTTCACCCCCTAAAAGTGTTTATCCGCCGATAAAAAAATACACGGGTCCCTTAGATTTTAGTCCTCTATAACATATTTAAAAATGAACAAAATCGGAAGGGGACACCTCGGGTACCTTCCTTGTAAGTATTTCTAAACGTGGACTTTCTACTCTTTACCTCTACGGTACCTACAGAGTTGCACTGGAAATTTAGGGAAGACTTACGCGACTTCCGGTGACGTAAGTACCGGAAGGAATCGGCCAAAGTGCGGAACCTTTTCCGCAGACCAAAACGCAGGCTTCCAAACTCGGGTGTTGGTCCGTCACTCCAAGTTCTTCGAAACTGATCGAAGACGCCGAAACCGGCGTTCGGCGACATTTTTGATTGACGCATTGGAATGTCCTGTAAAAGCTGAGCGAACAGAAACAAAAAGAAAGTATTAAAGAAACAGTCACCCGCAATTCACGAAAAGCGCAATTAAGGGCGCTCACCACTCCAGCGATTTTGCAGGGCCTCACGGGGACAACGATTCCGAACGTATTTCTAAACCGATCGGGCTTAACGAGTGCTCATATCGAAGATGAAATGTTGACCTGTGTTTATATGGGAGCGATTTTCGATAAGTGGTCATTATCATATAAAAAAGTGCAACGACATAATTTCAATGCCCTTTTACCTAGGAAGGAGGTGCTTGATCGAAAATCGCTCCCATATAAACACACGTCAACATTTTATCTTTAAAACGAGCACTCGTTGAGCTCAATCGGTTGAGAAATACGCTCAAAATCGTTGTCCCCGTGGAGCACCTTTTTCAGGATTTTCGAGTTTCTCGCGAGGAATTTGGGCATTCCTTGGCAACCGTTGCCGACTCTAGGCGGAGCGTCCAACTTGCGTGTGCGTGCGGCCGAGGGTCACACACGTTTCGGCGCCTAGTCCAGAGGCGTCTAGCCGTTGTATGAATTGTATACGTGCAAAATACACACACATTTTTCGCCCGTTGCTAAACACTGCCCATTATGCGTCGCGTCTCCCTCATCCGAGCGAGAAAGTACGTTTTGGTTACCTTCCACCGAATTCGATGCTAATGCCATCTAGCGGTGGAAGTCATTGTCCCCACTTGGTGGTGAACGCCGTTAACACGTTGGTGGCCACGTCACCCATACTGGATGATGGTATGCTTCCCTGGGGGCCCCATCACCCAGATATGGATGACGCTCTTCTTGTTCGAGTTAATTAAATATAGGATATTATATATAGGATTATATATAGGATATACAACACAAAAATATTAAAAAAAAACATTATACCAAACTTTTTATTAATTTATATTCTGCATAAAGTATCACATTACGCTATGCCGCATGGTATTCGTTAAAACATTTCAAACACATTTGGGGTGATTTTGGACACTTCGAACCATATGTTGTATTGGGTTGTTCGGAAAGTAATTTCGTTTCTTTTTATGAAAATGAAAGACGATTCTCTTATAGCGAATAAATATTTTATTGAATTATATATTGTCCATTCTGGTCCAGTACCTTTTGCCATCTTTCTGGCAGTAGCATGATTCCACGCTCATAAAATGTTTGGTTTTTGCTGTCAAAAAACTGATCCTGGTGATTTTTGACCTCCTCGTTTGAAGTAAAGGTTTTATCGTCTAAAAAATTTTGTAGAGACCGGAACAAGTAATAATCGGAAGGTGCCAGATCTGGAGAATATGGTGGGGTTGGCAGGATATCCCATCCAAGCTGTAGAAGCTTTTGGCGAGTTAAGAAACTTGTATGAGGTCTCGCATTATCTTGGGGAAACCCTACACCTTTTCTATTGATCAATGCTGGTCTCTTCTGTTTAAGTGAATCATTCAATTTGTCCAGCTAGTGACAGTACACTTCAGAATTGATCGTTGGGTTGTTCGGTAGAATCTCAAAAAAAACGATTCCTTTGAAATCCCACCAAACAGATACCATCACCTTTTTTTGATGAATTTCGGCTTTCGAAGTTCTTTCAGCCGGTTCATCTTTTTTACTCCATGATCTCTTGCGGGTAACATTGTCGTAGACAACCCATTTCTCGTCCCCAGGGATGGTGCGCTTCAAAAGTGGATCATTTTCTTGACGTTTGAGAAGCAAATCACAGACGTCAATGCGATGACACAAATTTCTTTCCGCAAGAACACGAGGAATCCATATGTCGAGCTTTGAGATTAAACCTAGGCGTTTCAAATGATCACGAACGGTCGAATTCGATAAATTTAATCTCTCAGCGATTTCACGAGTTGTTATTCGCCGGTTTGCATCAATTAATGCCTTTATTGTGTTTTCATCAGCTTTAAGTGGCCTTCCAGAACGTGGGGCATCTTCGATATCAAAATTGCCGGATCGAAATTTTGCAAACCAGTTTTGACCTTGGCGTTCCGTCAATGCATCTTCTCCATACACGTCGGATAATTTTTTTCTTGCTTGAACAGCATTTTTACCTTTTCGATAGTAAGAAAGTAAAATATGCCGAAAATGCCGCTTTTCACTTTCCATATTTGAAAGGGTACCAACCAAAAACCACTGCGTAGAATCAATCAAACTTTTTCACAAGCAAGCCTTGCTAGATCAGCTGTCAAAATATATAATGATTATGCGGCTTAAGTGTGAAGTTGGCCGTGAAAAAAAAAATTAAGTCCTCTGTTGGGAAACAACGAAATTACTTTCCGAACAACTCAATAGTTAAACAATAGTTCATTTAAATAGATTTTTCTTTGAGTGTGCCATTTAGCACAATACCCAGTATAATTCGACACTACTGTCGATATAAATACGAACGTCGGCAACGTAGGTATTTAAAAGAATCTTTATTACCGACGTCGATCAAATTTCTCGACATATTCCAGTTCACCTTAATGATAGTTAAGTGACATTTTACTAACATAAATAGTAATGATTTTTGTTATTGTGACCAGAAAGCTAAAGTAATAATAGAAATATGACTTGGAAAAATATGAAAAATATGAAAAGTAAAAAAAACTACATCTTGTAGTCACAGTTACCATATTTTGTAAAATAATTTAATTTTTAGTATTAAAAATATTTGAGTCTTTTTAGCGAACCAATTACAAAATATTTAATTTAACTATATTTCTCTCTCGGTGTGACCTCGAATATGAGACTAAAAAAGTTTTGTATAAAAAAGAGAATTAAAATTCTTACCGAGAGTGCCGCGTCTCCCCAAAGATGAAGAAGCCGACGAGGGTGATCAAAATAAACTTCATGACTGCTGAAAAAAAAAGTCGATTTAGGTAAAGAAGTTCGATTTAGGTAAAGGAGGTCGATTTAAGGTGAAGTGAAACCCACCTCAAATCAGTCAATTCGAATAAGATACTTTTTTTTAAGAGTATTGAACCCAACCGTCTGAAACTTTTATTACGTATGACTCGTGAGCACAGAGGAATTATCCTGACACATTCAAAATTTGGATTTTTCACAAAACTTTTTTAACATAGCCCAGACCAGAACCAAAATAACGTCGATCTCACTTATTTCGATCGGTATACAATGATTGAAGGCTATACGATAATTTAGAACACATTGGTAATGAAAAAACTCGCATTTAAACGATATAAATGCAAAAAAAAGTGTTTCATGCTCTGCTATTCTAAAACGATGGTAATACGACGTCTCGGAGTGAAAATTTAGTTGACATGGAAATCACAGATGGGGTAAGGTGTTACTCTGCAGTGAATTACAGCCTCAGAAACCATGACTCCATGTTTCGATCAATATACAATTATCGAAGGCTCTGATATGAGAAACGAAAGGGTTAGGATAATTTTACGACAACTTAGAACACTGGTAATTGAGAAACTCGCATTTGAACAGTATAAATGCAAAAAAAGTGTCTTATGCGCTGCTATGCTAAAACGATGGTAATACGAGGTCCCGGAGTGAAAAGTTAGTTGACATGGAAATCACAGATGGCGCAAGGTGTTGATCCTGTAATGAATTAGAGCCTCAGAAACCATGGCTCCAGGGGATTTCCAGAGTTTTACTTCGATTTAAATATAAACTCGGTAATGTAACGCGCCAGCTTATGTTTCCACTTGAGTATTCAAAATGGCGTTACCACCAAAATGGATATAACTGAATTTTAATTTATCTACCTCGATTCAATTTCTCAGCGCCTTTCCTATCATCTTAAGGTGAAGTAAAACCCGCCTGAAAGGATTTTTCACAAAACTTTGTTAACATAGCCCAGACCTGAACCAAAATGGCGTCGAACACTCATATTTCGATCAATATACAATTACCGAAGGCTCTGATATGAGAAACGAAAGAGTTAGGACAATTTTACGACAATTTAGAACACTGGTAATTGAGAAACTCGCATTTGAACAGTATAAATGCAAAAAAAGTGTCTTATGCGCTGCTATGCTAAAACGATGGTAATACGAGGTCCCCGAGTGAAAATTTAGTTGACATGGAAATCACAGATGGCGCAAGGTATTACTCTGCAGTGAATTACAGCCTCGGAAACCATGGCTCCAGGGGATTTCCAGAGTTTTACTTCGATTTAAATATAAACTCGGTAATGTAACGCGCCAGCTTATGTTCCCACTTGAGTATTCAAAATGGCGTTACCACCAAAAAGGGTATCCATGAATTTTAATTTATCGACCTTGATTAAATTTCTCAGCGCTTTTCATATCATCTTAAGGTGAAGTGAAACCCGCCTCCAAGGATTTTTTACAAAACTTTGTTAACATAGCCCAGATCAGAACCAACATGGCGTCGAACACTCATATTTCGATCAATATACAATTATCGAAGGCTCTGATATGAGAATCGAAAGTGTTAGGACAATTTTACGACAATTTAGAACACACTGGTAATCGAGAAACTCGCATTTGAACGGTATAAATGCAAAAAAAGTGTCTTATGCGCTGCTATGCTAAAACGATGGTAATACGAGGTCCCCGAGTGAAAATTTAGTTGACATGGAAATCACAGATGGCGCAAGGTGTTACTTTGTAGTGAATTAGAGCCTCAGAAACCATAACTCCAGGAGATATCCAGAGTTATACTTCGATTTAAATATAAATGTCGGTAATGTAACGCGCCAGCTTATGTTTCCACTTGAGTATTCAAAATGGCGTTACCACCAAAATGGATATAAATGAATTTTAATTAATCGACCTTGATTAAATTTCTCGGCGCCTTTCATATAATCTTAAAAGGGTCAAAATGTTCAGTTTACCAGCTCTTTTTCTCTCAGTGCACGCTCTTCTCGCTGGGTAGATTTGTCTTCGCTGCCGATATTACCACAATTACTGAAGGCTTCAAGCCCCTGCAGACGCACTTAAATACAACTTACTGCAAATTTATGTGTGCCTTCCCTGCAGATACGGCGCCAGCAGTATGTGAAGAAAAGGCATTCATGTACTCCACCATGTACTGCACACGACTCGCGATATGTACATTATACATTTAAATAGAACATTGTATATAGAAACAGCCGGAGATGCTTATCGCGGCATTAAGGTCAACGTTTCGATCGCTGGTAGAATCTTAAGTAAAGTCTTCAATCCTAAACGACGCCAATCGATATTAGCTGAGAAATGACCAACTTGTTGAAAACAGAGTGGAAAGTCCTAGATAGTATCAGCGATGAGCGGGGAGATGTTTCACGCCATTGTTTGAAAGGGAGCCACGGCCCCCTGGCGCCCTCTACACCTTTTTCACCTCTGTAAAAATTGGAACTACTTTTAAAGGGGCGAAATCTTCGCGATCGGTAAAACAGGGTATACGTGGGTGCACGTCGTAATCTCAATCATCCACGCATAACAACTTTATTTGGCATTCGTAGTCTTCTTTCCTAACCTACGTTGACCCTGATACTAAAAACGGAAAGGCGATAACTTCATTCTATCGATACTGTGCTGTGTTTGAAATCTGCAGACGTGTTTTTCTTTACCGATCGAAAAGAAGAAAAGGCTAACTTATTGAAAACAAAAAGTCATAATGTTAGGGCATAACAATATATACCAAAAAGGCAAAATATTTATAAAACTTTTCTCCAAATTGGGTGCACCAAATTATCTAAAACTTTAAAACGTGATTATGGAGGCTCTAAGGAAGAACGCGCTGCCCGTGAAATTTCATTTTTTGAAAGAAAAAATATCTTCTTTTGGTTCTCGTCTGACACCAATGAAATTTCATTTCCAATGAAAAATTCTTAAAATACCCACAAACAAATTTTTAAACGCTTCAAATTTCATGAGTGTCAGGACCTTCCTTATAGTCTTCATATTCATTTTGGTTCTGGTCTGGTCTGTGTTAGAACATTTTTGTTTTAATCCAAATTTTGAATGTATCAGGACAATTCTTAGATGATCAGGAGTGATGTGTCAAAGTTTCGGACACTTTGGTCCAATACCCTTAAAAAAAAAGTGTTGCATTCGAATCGACTGATTTGAAGGGGGTATCACATCTCCTTAAGGTGAAGTGAAACACGTCGAGGAACTTGATCGACGTCGATAACGAAGATTTTTCTAAATGCCTACGTTGCCGACGTTCGTTTTTATATTCACAGCTGGGTCGAATTATATCAGGTATTGTACCAAATGGCATACTCCACCTGTCGTTTTCGTACAATAAATATCAAGAAATCGAAGTAAAACTCCAGAAATTCACTGGATTCAAGTTTTCTGGGTGACTGCAGAGGGACCCCCTGCGCCATCTGTGATTTCCAGGTCAATTAAATTTTCACTCCGAGACCTCGTATTCCCATCGTTTTAGCATAGAAGCGCATACAACACTTTTTTTGCCTTTATCCCGTTCAAATGCGAGTTTATCGATTACCAGAATGTTCTAAATTGTCGTAAAATTGTCCTGACCCTTTCGTTTCTCACATCAGAGCCTTCGATAATTGTATATTGATCGAAATATAAGAGCTCGACGCCATTTTGGTTCTTGTCTGGGCCGAGTTAAAAGATTATTGCAAAAAATTCAAGTTTTGAATGTGACAGGACAATTCTTAGACGATCACGAGTCATGTGTCAAAGTTTCGGACACTTTGGTCTAATACCCTTAAAAAAAGTGTTGTATTCGAATCGACTGATTTGAAGGGGGTTTCACATCACCTTAAGGTGAAGTGAGACTCGTCGAGGAACTTGACCGACGTTGGTAAAAAAGGTTTTTTCTAAATACCTACGTTGGCGACGTTGGTTTTTATATCGACAGCTGTCTCGAATTATACTGGGTATGGTACAAAATGGCATGCTCCACCTCTTGTTTTCATACAATAAATACCAAGAAATCGAAGTAAATGTCCAGAAATCCTCTGAATTGATGCTTTCTGGGGCCCCAAGTGACTGCAGAGGGACCCTCTACGCCATCTGTGATTTCCAGGTCAACTAAATTTTCACTCCGAGACTTCGTATTCCCATAATTTTAGCATGGAAGCGCACACAACACTTTTTTTGCCTTTATCTCGCTCAAATGCGAGTTTATCAATTATCAGAGTGTTCTAAATTGTCGTAAAATTGTCCTGATCCTTTCGATTCTCATATCAGAGCCTTCAATAATTGTATATCGATCGAAATATGAGAGCTCGACGCCATTTGGGTTCTGGTCTGAGCCGAGTTAAACAATTTTGTTAAAAAATCCAAATTTTGAATGTGTCAGGACAATTCTTAGATGATCAGGAGTGATGTGTCAAAGTTTCGGACGGTTTGGTCTAATACCTTAAAAAAAAGTGTTTTAGTCGAATCGACTGATTTGAAGGGGGTTTCACATAACCTTAATACTACATTTTTTCACACAGCTAATGCAGTTGAATTTTTTTTCTTAACTAAATACGGCCACTGAGTTTAATTAAAATAATTATAGTCTGTTTAGTATTCTGTCTCGACGTCCGCAGCAGGAAGTGCGAAATGGTTGCGCGTTATCAGCGCCGGTTAATGTGCCTTGACAAGGGAATTTCTTATCGCTTTGATACACGTTGAGCTTGACACAGGTGGTCGGTTTGGATAATAAGTAAATCTTTTTCTTATCGGTCATTCGGATCAGATGCCGAGTCATTTGGGCAAACAACGTGCATTCGAGTTCATTGATACGGTCAAGGATATCAGCGCGTGCGTGGTTGCGTTGTGATAAGAACAATTGACTAGGTCAGGGAGATTTCAATTATCTCCCTTTATTTCCGGGAATAATAACTTACCGGAAATGTATGTTGCATACGCAATCTTTTAAGATGATATGAAAGTGTCATTCTATATA